TGTTTAAAATTTAAATAGATTTTCGTTTAAAATGTAAAGGATGTTTTAACACGTTGCTGCCATGATCATATGAAATCTATTTTGCAGACAAACTTAAGCCACTTTGAAAGAAAAGGATTTTTTAATTAATTTAACTCTTTAAACAATTCTGGCTTTTGGCAATTTATAAGCATAGTGTACATTTTATTGTATTTCATGTCTCAATTAACCATGGAAAATTAAGTCTAGTAAATAAGATAATCTCACTTTTATAGAAATAGCACAAAATAAATAATAAAAGAATAAGCATAACACAAAGCATTTATTTTCATGCCCAATAAGAAATTTTCTTTTTGTGATTTGGTCATCTTGAGTTCTTTAGTGATTTGGTTATCTTGAGTGAAAAGGAAAATTCTACTTTTAAATGTTTTGTTATTTTTACGAGCATTTCCTAAATAAGATTTCACTATTAAAATTTTTTTATTGAAGTATGGTTGACATACAATATTATATTAGTTTTAGGTGTACAACATAGTGATTTGACAGTTCCATACATTACATAGCATTCACCACAATAAGTGTGGTTACCATCTGTCACCATATAATGCGATTACAGTGTTATTGATAATACTTTCTATGCTGCACTTTTCTTCCCTGTGACTTATTTATCTTACAACTGGAAGTTTGTATCTCTTAATCCCCATAACCTATTTCATCCACCCTTCTCCCCTCTGGCAACCACTAGTTTGTCCTCTGTAGTTATGATTCTGTTTCTGGGTTTTGTTTGTCTATTTTATTTTCTAGATTCCACATTTAAGTGAAATACTGATATTTGTCTTTCTCTGACTTATTTTACTTACCATATTACCCTTTAGGCCTATCTATGTTGTCACAAATGGTATAATCCTATTATTTTTCATGCCTGAGTAATATTGGGTGTGTGTGTGTGTGTGTGTGTGTGTGTTTGTGTGTGTGTCTTCGTGTGTCTTCTTTATCCATTCATTTATCAGTGAATTCTTAGGCTGCTTACACAGCTTGGCTATGATAAATAATGTTGTAGTGAACATGGAGTGCATATATTTTTTCAAGCTAGTGTTTTCATTTTCTTTGGGTAAATACCCAACAGTGGAATTCATGGATTATAGGGTAGTTCTCTTTTTAATTTTTTGAGAACATCCATATTGTTTTCCACAGTGGTTGCACCAATTTACATTCCTATCAACAGTGCATAAGGGTTCCCTTTTCTCCACATCCTCGCCAACACTTGTTATTTCTTGTCTTTTTGATTCTAGCCATTTGACAGGGGTAAGGGGATATCTCATTGTGGTTTTGATGTGCCTTTCTCTGTTGATGAGTGATGTTGAGTATGTTTTCCTGTGTCTGTTGGACATCTGTCTGTATGTCTTTGAAAACATGTCTATTCAGGTGCTTTGCCCATTTTTAAAAAATCAGATTATTTGTTTTTTGTTTTGTTTTGCTGGTGTTGAGTTGTATGAGTTCTTTATATATTTTGGATATTAACCCCTTATTGGATATATCATTTGCAAATATTTTCTCCTATTCAGTAGTTTGCCTTTTCATTGTGTTGATAGTTTCCTTCACTGTACAGAAGCTTTTTACCTTGATGTCAACTCAATTATTTGTTTTCATTTTTATTTCCCTTTCCTGAGGAGACACATCCAGAAAAAGGTTGCTAGGGCTAATGTCCAAGAGATTACTGCCTATGATTTCCTTAAGGAATTTCATGGTTTCAGATCTTACATTTAGGTCTTTAATCTGTTTTGAGTTTATTTTTGTGTGTGGTGAAAGAAAGTGGTCTAGTTTCACTCAATTTCATGTAGTTGTCCAGTTTTCCCAACACCATATGTTGAAGAGACTGTCTTTTCCCCATTATATATGCTTGCCTCCTTTGCCATAGATTAATTGACTGTATAGGCATGGGTGTATTTCTGAATTCTCTGTTCTAAGTGTCTGTTTTTGAACTTGCACCATATTGTTTTGATTACTGTAGCTTTGTAGTAGATCTTGACATCATGGATTGTGGTATATTAAGCTTTATTCTTTTTGCTATTTTAAAAGTGGAAACTGAGGTCTATCAGTAATGGTGAAGAATGTTCTCTATATCTAAATTTATCTGTGAACTGATACTACACATAGAAACTCCCAGCCCAAGGTAATATCATAGAAAATATTTTGGTTTCATGGAATATTGTAAAATTCTACATTAAATAATAATTAAATTATTATCTATAATTCATTTCTAAACACATTTTACCAAGCTTCCATAATGCTTTACAGAAGCTAATAAAATCTAGCGTGATTTTATATTACCTCTTTGAAGGTAGGGAGAACATAAACACCTGTTGGACAATTATATAAATGTAGAGCAAGTCAGTAGTGAAAGTTCCTGTCTGAGAAATCCACAGATCTGATCTTCTGATCTACATCCTATATTTCTCTGTAATGTAAATATTGGAAGTTTGTTTTCTCAGACGTACTGAGAAAAGAATCACTTGCAAAGCCTCATGGAATAGCATAGAACAAAAATCTGAGTCAAGAGGCTAGGTGCACGTAGCAGAGAAGCCTGCTTGGCTACATTGGGTAATTAGATGTTGCAGATTCTTTGTAAATGCCTGCTAGGTGCACTGTGCTAAGGCACCCAGCAGCACTGAGCTGAATGCTACAACCATCTGAGGTGTGTTCAGAAAATAGGGCAGACCAGAACACACCTGAGAGGTTATTGCTCAGGTATCTGTATTTTTAAAAATCACCGTTCCTTCCCCACCATCTGATTTTAATGCTCAGTGATAGACATTGACTAATTGTTGGGGACCATTTGTTTTCACTCTGTTAACTGATGACCTGGGCATGGTATTTAAATTGACTCCAAATGTGAGTCTCAAATTCGGACATCTAGCTGTAGAAAAGAAATTAGAGAAGAAACAATAGCAGTGTACCAGTCCTTTAAAAACAATGAAGAAATGCCCCTTGACTACGTTGACTAGTTCAGATTTTAGAGTGAAAGGAATTGTAAGGCATAGTCTTCTGTATTTTACTTCTTATAAAGGCTTGAATTCCTAAAACGTGTATTTTATTCTTGAAGAGGAATATGGAACAGGTGAATCAGGAACATTGTTGAGTGAGGAATTAGAGAAATTGTCCCAAGCCTTTGTGATTCAAAGTTGGGTACCCAGGGCCTGGAAGAGAGCCTGCCTATTTTAGCCAATCAGTAAACTAATTTTGAATAAAGAAATGACTCTGGACTGAAAATGTCTTAATCACCAGAGAAAAGAGCTAATCTCTCTGAATGCCTGGGCGCTCTTTGATTTTGTTGTTGTTAATCGATGTGCTCTTTTAAAAACTGTAAATACAGGGTCATATGGCTGGTGTGTTGCCACTGGGGTCTGCCTCCACACTGTGCCAGCCAGCTCTCCAAGACTGCCTTCAGGAACCCAATGTGGAACCCTTTTGAAAACCAAGTGTAGTGCAAATATATTAGCATTAGTTGTTTACATATCAATTTCTTCTTGCTAGCTTTCTCATTCTTCTCTCTTTCCCCAGCATCTAGCTTATAATAGGCACCTAATAAATGTGAGTGACTTTAAAAAAGAAAAAAAAAAACTCTTTTAGCTTAGATACAGTAAAACTTGAAGGCTTACTTTCTGTGTATACATGCCTCTCTCCATCTGGTAAAACTGTGTGTCTTTAAAAGTCATTTTCTGCAAACCCAGAAACAGAGCTTATGTTTTTGTTTCCACTTAAATAGAACTATATTATTCTATGCCTTCATCTTATTCTGGATGGTATAACTTGAATAATTTTCTGTGTCAGTATTTAAACATTTTCCTCAGTTTTTAGCCATTGAGAAATAGTCTGCAATATCTGCAGAGCACCTACACAGCCATCTCCTATTGATGGACATTTGTGGCTTTTTTGCTTTGTTTTGTTTGTTTCTTTGTATTTGGAAACCATGTTTGAATATTTCTGTGATATAACTAGAAATGGAATTTCCTGATCCTAAAGGCACATATAATGTTTTGATAAAATGCCAAACTTCCCTCAGAAAAAGATTGTGTCAGTTTATACAACCCAAAGAGAGTGTGATCATGCCCATTCTCATACCCCCACCAAACCTAGGTACCATTACATTTTTCTTTCTTTCATTAAACCAGATTTAATGTAGAAAATGGTATTTTATTGTTATTTTACATTTGTGTCTATACCTTCTAAACACTGTACCTGAGTCTAAAACATACAATGTTTTAATCTAAATTGCAGATAATATAATCTATTTACTTTACAATGCATCAAAACTGTCATTCTGTTTTTATTTTTATAAATTTCTGTGTTAAAATTAACTTTGATATTTAGTATCTGTTTTTTCAATGGATCACAATTATATAGAACTATTATCCTGTTTAATAGCATATAATATCCTATTATCCTGAACATTGAATGTCTTTCCAGTGCCTCACTAATATAATTACATAGCAGTGAACACCCTTGTACACATAGTCTTCCCTAATCTTTATGAATAATTTATTCAAGTGAATTCCAGATAGTGTTATGACTGGGTCAAAGGTTTTAATTCTTTTTATGGCTCTTGATAAGATTCATTAGGTTGCTTTATAGAAGTGTTAGATCAATTTTTATAAATCAAGAGCACATTATTATAACGGATTCTTGACTACCTTTCTGAACTATGGTAAATTTATTATTTTAAATTTGAGTAATATATACAACTTTACTTTTATAAATTAAAATTAGTGGGTATATACAAAGACTGGTGAGTGTATACTTATATTTTCTGTGTTTAAAAAATGGCTGTTATAATGCTAACCAAAAGCAACAGGATATAGAATGAGGTATAAAATCATATATACTTCTGTGATAGAAAATTTTAATTTTATTTTTTGTATCTTTTGTATATCTTTTATATCTTTTAATACAATGAGTATTACAACAGGGCTAAATGTCCTCCACCTATTTCTGTGGTCAAAAGATCTGTCTCTTTCTTTTAGGAAATTTATCAGTGGTGTGGTTCCTCGTGCAACAAATATGAGCGTCTGAAGGCAAGCCAGGTTGCCATTGGCATTCGGGACAATGAAAGGAAAGGAAGATCACAGCTAATTGTGGTGGAAGATGGAAGTGAACCATCCGTGCTCCAAAAGGTTTTGTAACTTGTTTTTTAAAGTTTTACCACTCTAAGTTGTATATGTGGGGGGTGTGTGTGTGTGTGTGTGTGTGTGTGCGCGCGCGCGCTTGTGCGCGTTTGTGTGTGTTAATTTTAGCAAATTCTGTAATACTGGGTCTAGGCTAAGGTTAGGTAAGAGGAAACATCAAGATTATCTAAGTGATGGTACAGAGAAAATAGAAAGTCATGACTGTTTTATTTCACCCTTGGTTTGACCACCAGAGGATGTGCTGACTTAATCTTCTGTCATACAGGACAGATGGGTGCTCTTTTGAGACTGACTGTAGGAATATATTTTGGAAGTAAAATAATAGTTTCTTCATGTGAGCCTCTGAATATGTATATTTTTTAATATAGGCATATTTTCAATTTTAAAGTTAATTATTATACTAAAAGAATGAAACAAAATCTTATTCCAAGAGATTAAATATACCAATATTTTAAATACTTCAGTTATTTTAAACTGAGAATTAAAGGCAAGACACTTATGATTTTAGTATAGTTCAATTAATTTGAAAATTATCTCCATAGCTCTTTATACCTACGTTATTTACTTAACAGTTATAGCAGTCTTAGACATATAGTTGTGAACAGTTTTTCACCTTTAAGAAAACTGCAGTGAGTGCCAAAGTGTATATATTTTATATTTTCCCTTACGGTTATTGGTCAAACGTATAGTAATATTCAGGTGTCTTAATACATATTGGTACCTTGTTTCTCATGTGTTCAATGCACATTATTTATTGAATCCCCTGTGGTAAGTCAGGCACTAAAATGTTTGTACAAATGTTTGCTTCTTCTTGACTTTACAGAACCCCATCAAAATTTACTGTTATGATATTGTCTTGAATCCTCCTGCATTTAAAGGTGGTATCTCTTTGAGTTTTAATTTTTCTGATTTCCTGGGATAATATACATTTTCCTCAATGATTTTAGCTATTTACACTAAATTTTTCTAATGACTGTCTCATACACATTTTTTTAAATGTTTTATTTTATTTCTTAGAGAGAGAGGCAGCATGAACAGGGGAGGGTCAGAGAGAGAGGGAGATAAAGAATCTGAGGCAGGCTCCAGGCTCTGAGCTAGCTGTCAGCACAGAGCCAGACATGGGGCTCAAACCCACGAACCATGAGATCATAACCTGAGCTGAAGTTGGACGCTTAACTGACTGAGCCACCCAGGTGCCTCCATACACATGTTTTTAATAATTTTGATTTACAGTGTTTTTATACATGAGAGTTATTTGATGTAGTAATAGTCTCCATAATCCACCGATCAAAAATTATATGTGAGATAATTTTATCATTACAATGTCTTTTTTAATGTTTATTTATTTTTGAGAGAGAGAGAGAGAGAGAGAGCAGGCGAGAGCGAGTATGAGCAGGGGAGGGGCAGAGGGAGGAGACACAGAGTCAAAAGCAGGCTCCAGGCTCTGAGCTGTCATCACAGAGGCCAGTGTGGGGCTAGAACTCACCAACTACTAGATCATGACCTGAACTGAAGTTGGATGCTTAACCTACTGTGCCATCCAGGTGCCCCTATTATCGTAATATCTTCAAACTTTATTATTTTAATAACCACCAAACACAGATATTCATGTTAGGGATTTTTGAGAAGTGACTTTTATTGAGTGGGGAAAATGTTCAAGGTTAAATGCTAAGAGAAAAGGCATGATATAAGATTTTATATATAATAATATCTTAATATATAAGTTTATATGTAGGTATATAGCTATATATTCGTATATACATATATATCTGGAAAGAAATATGCTGAAATATTGCCAGTATTGACAATATTGCCTTTGGCTCTTGGGATTTGACTGCTTGTTAATTTTTTTCTGTTTTTGTCGTTGAATTTTCAAAATTTATTATAATAGATGTGTGTTTTCATTTTATAATCAGGAAAAAAAGGACATTAAAAAAACAAAGTAGAATTAGGGATTAACTGGCTTTTGAATAGTCATAATAACATGGCTAATAAATTAGACTTTGAAAACTCTTCAAAACACAACTTCTTTAACTTTTAATATTCTTTAAAGGCCCCTGTTCTGACATGTAATCACCATTTAAGTCTTTCAAGTTTCATATTTGGAAGCAAAAATTTATAAGTTGGATGTATTTCTACTTGATTGTAACCTCTTGTTTCAGTAATTATGCTTTAGTAGGTGTGACCCAGTTGTAAGATGCACCCTGGTGGAGCAGTGGAGGAGGTGCCGTGTTAACTTTCAGATGAGCTTTTCTCCTGTCATCTTGGGTCCCAAGCAAGTCCCTTAACCTCTGTTGTTTCTGGTTCCTCATTTGTGAAGTAAAGGGTTGGACAGGGTGGCTTCTGGTCCCCTTGGGATCATTCCACCTTGTCTCTTCGGCAGTTTCTGTGTTTAATTACCAAATCTTTTCTACTCTGTTGCAAGAAGCGAAGCCACTGAGGTTGAGGGCCTGAACTGTGCATCTGTACATTTAATACACTTGCTTATTGGATTTGTTTCAGACTTTTGGGAGAAAAAAAAAGCTTAAGTATTACACTGTTAAATTTTATTTTATTTTATTTATTTTTGATGTTTTATTTATTTCTGAGAGAGAGAGAGAGAGAGAGAGACAACGTGAGCAGGGGAGGGTCAGAGAGAGAGATAAAGAATCTGAGGAAGGCTCCAGGCTCTCAGCTAGCTGTCAGTATAGAGCCTGATGTGGGGCTCGAACCCACGAGCCATGAGATCATAACCTGAGCTGAAGTCGGATGCTTAACTGACTGAGCCACCCAGGCGCCCCTACACTGTTAAATTTTAAAAGGAAGTGCAAACCTGAAGAAAAAAATTGTGAAAATATAAGTTTGATTCTAAAATATTAATGTTAGAGAAAAGGGACATAATTCATAATATAAAATGTGATGTCTTATTCTTATAGATTTTCAATTTTTGGTTTTTAAAATATCCTAGAAAACACCTACTTTGCTTTCTATTCAGTTCATTCAGTATATACTGCATTATATTTCACAGGTCTCATTTACAAATGAATTTTCCTTCTAAAAGCATTTGTTGGACTTTTGGTTTTTACAAATGTTGTTTTGTAGCCTGATCACAAGGATGAACAGTTGTTTGATAAATTAATCATGCACCTATAATAAACTAGTTTGACTTTCTAGGTTTTCTTTTTTTTTAACGTTTATTTATTTTTGAGAGAGAGAGAGAAGAAAGGGCAGAAAGAGAGAGGAACACAGAATCTGAAGGAGGACCCAGGCTCTGAGCTGTCAGCACAGAGCCTGATGTGGGGCTCAAACCCACAAACTGCAAGATCATGACCTGCGCTGAAGTAGGACGCTCCACCAACTGAGCCACACAGGTGCCTCTCTAGGCTTTCTTATAATTGTACTCACAGCGATAAAATTCAAAGAGGTCATGAACTTGGTTAGGAGAAAATTACCTTATTTCCACTAACCTCTTCATAAAAATCTTCTCCAGTTGTAAATATAGTTGACTAAACAGTAGCATAAGCAGCATTGTGACTTTTCAGATTACGCTATTGCAGATAATTTTTTGGGGGGGGTTTCAATTTCTTTTATTTTTTTATTTTTATTTTTTTTTTTTACAAATAGTTTATTGTCAAATTGGTTTCCATATAACACCCAGTGCTCATCCCCACAAGTGCCCTCCTCCATGCCCATCTCCCCCCCACATCCATCAGTCCTCAGTTTGTTTCTCAGCATTCAAGAGTCTCTCATGGTTTCCCTCTCTCCCTTTCCCCCACCATTTCCGCCCTTCTTCTCCCCCATGGTCCTCCATTAAGTTCCTCCTAATCCTCCTATACGTGCTAACATATGATATTTGTCCTTCTCTGCCTGACTTATTTCTCTAAGCATAACACCCTCAAGGTCCATCCATGTTGCTACACATGGCCAGATTTCATTGTTTCTCATTGCCATGTAGTATTCCATGGTATAGATAAACCACATCTTCTTGATCCATTCATCATCCAGATGGCCAGCAGATAATTTTAAAATATCATTGCTGTTCATCACTTCTTGGTAATTATGATAGTTATTAGACCTGCTGTTCAGTATTGTTATTTAATGAGTAAATAACATATATTACTCACATATTACTTTATCACATTCAGAAAATACATTTTGATAGTTGTACCCCAATATAACAGATTTCCATTGTAATACTTTGCATTTTATTTCACATAATTAAAAAGCACTTTTTTTAGAAGGGGGTTGATAGGCTTCAGAAGTTATACACACACACACACACACACACACACACACAAGGTTTCCTTGTTGAAGACAATGGAATTTCATTTCTTTTTCTGAAACTCTAATGAAACTATATTGCTAGAAAAGGATTCTAAAAACCTAAAAATCTTTTAAAATGGTCCTTTTAAGTGATTCCTTTTTAATGATATTCTTTTAAGTTTATTTACTTCAGAAACTTTGAAGGTCTCTATATGAAGTTTAGTAATGGTTTAAAATCCAGGACTTATAAACCAGTTAAATGATTCTCTTATCATTATTCCATACTGGGTGCTGAGTATTTGAAATATGCATAACACATCAAAGTGCTCAACACAATAAATAGTGAAAAATACTTTTACTGAGAGTTTTTTTAAGAATTCAATTTACTTTTAGATATTTAGCTATCTGTTAATACTATTCATGTAATTTTAATATGATTTAACTTTATGATCATAAATTTACCATTCCAACTGAAATACTTGGGATAGTAATTAAGGGGTCCCTTATTAGACAAAACTAGGAGACACCATGTATTAACAAGACTGTCTGGGAAAATAGGATACATGTTCAGCCTCTTTCTTGTCTCTTTAACACTTTTAAAAACTCATCTACCTAAATATGAAAATTATTCTGTCCATGGAACTAAACTAAAACCTGTAGGTAAAATCACATTTTACCCTGTACATGTTTTTTCATCACTGTAAATATATTTACCAGGAAAAACTACACATAAATTATGTAAAGAT